TTGGCCAGTTTGGTTGTGGTGTCACTGCATTGCTTGATGCTGTAAAACTACCATAGTTTGTGAACGTATAGCTGTATACTAGAGTCCAGCCTCCACCGTCCGTTACCATATCACAGTAGACTTTGATGACATTGGTACCATCTGGGGAAATGGAATACAATCCAGACGGCAAGGAAGAGTTTCCTTGGAGAAGTGCTTTGCAAGAGTTTGGTGGTACTGTAATTTAAAAAGGGATTTCACTCTCTGATGGCGAATGAACATGTCAAATTTTGAATTGATTCCAGAGAACATTTTGTTTCTTTGTTTTTGTTGTCGGTGGTGTTGTTTATTTATTTATTTATTTTTTTTGGAGTATCTTAACGAAACTAAACACCAGACGATCGATTTGAAATACGAGTGTCAAAGTACAAACTAGTATATGTTTGAACCATTTTTTGAACGATTTTCAATATAAAACATGTCTAAAAGAACAAACTCGTGTCATCGTATAAAGCTTATTAAGAACAACCCTAATGTCAATTAATAGAACAAGAGAAATGGAAAAAAACCCGAAATAATACGGTTCGACAGGTAAYTTTGTAGCTTATGCCGATTCTACCTTAGCAATWTGGTCCGTCCAATTTGTGGAATTGAATGGAATTTTAATTCCATTACACCCGATTTCAAATGAGTGCRAACTCTCCGGAATTTGTTTTGAACGCTAAACTTTCACTCGACCGTCATTCGCTCGACCGCTTGGTAACCAGGCACACGTGTTTAGAAGTGATGCGTGACTTTCTGTAGCGGGACTTTCCGCATTTAGAATTATGGAGGAAGAAGCGGTGGTCTTTGTTCGAGATATCTGTGGTCCTTGTGTTTCCCAGAACATTCTACTTCACTCAATGCAATTGAGAACAATTTGAAGAATATCAACTAAACTTGATTAAAAAATATAATTTTCTATCTGATTTGTAGTTTAAATTTGGCTTTATTAACTTGTAAACATCAAATGCATGCAAATAATATTGCACAATTAGGTATAGCTTTGCAAGAACCATGAACTTGAGGGTGTTGTTTTCTGCATCTTGAAAAGATATTCTTATGTTGAACTAAAATACACATTTTTCTTTTCTTTCGTTATGTAAACAATTTAAGTTTACAATAAAAAATTATCAAGCAAGCGAAAAAATAATTGCAACATTGTTGTTTAAATTAAAGSTTGAAAACGAAGTAGCTTATGTTTAAATGTAACCTTCTTTCGAAGAAGTAAATATATTCTTATTCTTATTACTGTAAAACCCTGATTGATTGAATACAAGTTTACAATGACACTTACATGTGTATGCACAGCAACATTTCCTGTACGTTTATAAAGTTGTCGAATTTTACAAACAAAAGTTTTCCCTACAAATAACGCTCTCGTGACAAGTTTCCTTAATGCTTGAACCGTAAATAAGTTCATGGTAAATAGCCTTCCACCGAATATCGTCCGATAACCTCTTCATTTTAATCAGTAAACTAGTAAAATCAACAAAGAACAGCCTACGAACACTAAAAGCGATTTAAAGTGCCCGCGCTTGTCAGTGTTTGTCACGCTCTTTATTTTTCAACTGTTTCGTTGTAATTGTGAGCTGAGAAAGTTAAGTAAACCGAAACTAGTTTTTACAATAAGTTCGTTTTGTAGTGCGATCACAAACCGTAGGAATTTAGCCCACAGACATACATTAACCATGGTTTTTATACTTGGATAATTTTACCCGCTTCAAGCTGTGCCAGGTTACCAAGTGGTCGAGTGAATGACGGTCGAGTGAAAGTTTAGCGTCCGAAAAAAAATTCGAGAGTTCGCACTCATTTGAAATCGGGTGTAA